GCGGTCATCGACCCAGCGGGGAAATGGGGCCTGAAATCGCTCAACATTACAATTCCTGAAGTTAACCTGATTTTGCATCGTAGAGATTATTCATGCTCTTATTACGCGTTTGTGCGGCGACAAACACCACCCAACACGCTACGCAATCTTCGTTCAGTTCAGTTAAAAGTACAAATCCTTAGTTAATTATAAATTCTAATAAAATAAGATATTTTTATAACTGTGGGAGGTAGCTTGCTTTAACTTAATTCATTAAGTGTTGTAAAACTCCATGATTCTAAAGGGTTACGAGGAAATCTTTATAAAATATCTTAAAAAGGCAACACATCCATGTCCATTTGTCAATCATAATGAAGATAACACCACAAATTGGAAACCAAACAATTTGAAGCAGGAACAGTTAGTAAAGACCTCGACGGTTTGTTGGATAACGACAATGTCGACTAGTTATTGTTAGGAGCAGAATAGTCGGAACGAGCGGGTGTGATCTTGAATGGAGTGAAAGTGGCTTCGGATACTTCCTGACACGAGGAAAGTGAACGGCCGCGAGGCCCTGCCTAGTCGCAGATACCGCATAGATAGATATCTCTTTCAATAGAAATGCAAGAAAGTTAAGTTCAATGTCCTGTTGCTAAATTGATCTTTAATAAATGACAATTTTTTACGTGTTAAATTTGTTTCTTAAAAAATATCGAATACTTTTTTACTGATTAATAAAAAAGATGTCTAAAGTAAAATACCTGAAAACGTAGAGAACTCATGCAGGAGTTCAATAAAAGAGTGCGTCGACATGACCGCGAGGGACCGCTAGTAAAAAATAGAGTTCAAAAAATAATACATATTCTAAAACATATTTGTTAAATCTCTACTTTAATTTTTGACAGATTGTATTAATTTTTGTAAAGGCAACAACGACTGATTTTTTCTTCATTACGACTGTCATAGAAAAATACATATGTCGTTAAATTATGAACAATAATAATACAAGTAATAACGACCCCATTGCCTATAATATATCACGCACCAGATGAGACACAAAGACTATATAATAAGTCATGATATGTTCAATAAGTCGCCGTCAACACAATTAAATAAATATAAATTGTTTTTAATATACACTTAAACAAAGGGCAATGACATCAAGGTCAACTAACGTAGTAATTCAGTAGCTTACAATATCGATACAAAATTTATACTAAACAAATTCCGAATTTTATCTTATGTTTACTGTTTTACAGATATTGGTAAAGAATTTCTTATTTATTGAATTGAAGTTTGTAGTCTTTTTATTCCTGTGTTAAGAATAATTTATTTCTTTGGTCTGAATTTATAAAGTGTATAAATTAATAATTCCAAACTCCGTCGCCTGCATCTAGCGGTACATTTTGACCTCTATGTGCTCTTTTGTTGTTATCCAGAGAATATTTGTAACCAAAAATTATAATGGACACGTTTGTAGGATTAATGAAACTTCAGTTGTCAAGTAGAGGGCCTAGCACGAATTATGTGCTATCGTATCGTCATCGTCATCGTCAATTATCCAAATTGCATTACGATCTTAAAATTTTATTGTACACTTTGCCGTTTACGATGACGATTGTCACAAATATTCGTGTTAGGCACTCAGTACTTTACTTAAAAGAAATGTAGTGTACTGTCCATTGACCAGATAAAGAGATTTCTGTATCGATGAATAGATTTTACATTTCATTGGTTGTCGTTCCGTCCGCTTGTTGTTTTCCGGGAAACGTATAGTATTGCTATGTCGGCTTTGCGTATGAATGAGACAAGATATTCAGGTGGCTGAAGGCAGGGACGTTCACCCTCCGGCTGGGTCTTCGACCGGCCGAGTTCCAGCAGCTGATCGCCACGCGTCGGGCCCCGACCCCGCATGACTAACAAATAGCTGACGTCTGACGTCTGACGCCGTCACCCCGTTATTTACTTAATACATGCGTGATTTATGCGTGTCAACGCGATTGCGATGCCTCCTGTTACACTGTGCTATTTTAAGTCTTCGTTAATATTAAACGGGTTTTTTTCCTTAAAGGTTTTTTAACCGTTAGTTTCTGTGATCAAAATCTTTGTATAAAATATATTCATTATTTTTAGCAAATCAGAGATGACAATATTTTTTAAACGGGGATTATGCTGTATCATAAAAAACTTGTTTAGATATAATTTTATTTGAAAATATTGCTTTGCTGAGTTTGGTCTACGCTACTACTCGTCACTAGATGGCGCTTTTTTAATGATGTAAATTTTCAAATTACTAAAAAGATTTATCCTTTAAATAGATGTATAAAATATAAGTGAGTTTTATTCAATTAAAAAACAATCAATTTTTTGTGTCTTTTTTATAAGTACGGTGTCAATTGAAAAATCCTCTGATAAAAAATATTTGATCATTGGACAGATGACACTATTGACATGTCTATTATTTTATATTTTGTAAATTAGTATAAATTAATGTAAAAGAAATTATTTATTTTTTTCTGCATTACATATTTTATTTTATTAATCATGGAGAATGCTGAAGAACAACATGACCATAGCATCCATGTCGTGCCTCGAAGGGTTGAGGTCATTTACCGACGAAAAACCAGAGAAAGGAAAATATTTATGGATGAATTGAAAGAAGTAAGGAAACGTAGACACAAACGCTTTATGAAAAGAATTATTGCTTCGATCGGCCCTAATTGGTACTACGAGCTCAGCGAACCACAAAGGAGTAACCTGGATACACTCGAATTTTGTATTTACCAAGATGTGTTAGCGGGCCGGCCCGCAAAAACCGAACGGGTCATTCGTCAGCTAGGCCTGCATCCCCGGCCAACAACCGATGACATTATGCATTGCGTCATCGCCGGACGAAAAGATCCAAAGCAGATGCTTTCAAATTTATTCGGTTTAATGTTCGGTCACACTATCGACGGGAAGCGAGCCGTTTACAACATGAACGGAAAGTTGTTATTGTCGTCTATACTTTACTTGGGTATGCCTCATTTAATAAAATCATTACAAATAATGTTTCATAGTGAACCTGAGGAAATAAAGGAAGTTAAGCCGGAACCTAAACCCAAGCCCATCTTAAAGTCTCCGTACTTACAAGAACTGGTGGCGTGTCAGTATAAACCGCCGAAGCGCAAACCGCAACGTCCACCACCTTTGCCACATTTGGATACACTTAACGAACCCTTTGAAGTAGAACCCGTGATACGAAAGCCCCCGCCCCTGCCGCCACCACCACCGCCTCCCAAGAAGCGGCTGCCACGCTCCTACTGCGACCGCGTCGCCGGCATATTGTCCCTCGAGCCACGTTGGTCTATTGATAATTTGTCAATGAAACCTTTGGCACGTAGCTTTCACCGCAGGAAAACATCAAAAATTAGCATTTTGGAAGACAAAAAGAAGCTCTATGGCATTTCGGCAACAATTACCAAAAAAGTTCGGCGTAAGAAACCCGTGGCGCCTTCAACAGGATTGAAAAATTCACAATATTTAATACAAGGTGTCAGTATCGTTCACGGTAGATATTTCTACCTGCTTGGTAATGTGTCGATACTACCACCCGATGGAGAAATGATACACGGCGGCTATGCGCATGTGAAGGGCGAAAATATTAACATAAATTGCGGCTACCGCGCCCACCCACCTCCACCAGCGCCCGATCCTTGCGACTGTTTGGAGCGATGGAATGATTCAGTCTTTGAATACATCAAAAACACTAAATGTTACTGCGGTCACTATTACGACTATGGAAACGATGGTGCCTTCTTGCCGGATGAATTGCCATTCTTTGAAAAACCAACACAAAATACTCCATTCCGTTTCAACTATCAGACCATATACGATTTGAACGAGAAACAGCTCTTCGTGGAGAAGCAATTCAAAAGACTTTGGGATACGGACAGCGTGTTAGGCCCGCCCGGTGACGACAACAAAGATAAAAGAGATAAAAAGAAACTAAAAGCTCGGAGGCTCTCGGCGAGTACGATTAACGAAAATCTTAAACCCGAAGACTATTTAAGGAGTGCGCTTAGAAAATTAAGACGCGATAATATTGCAGCTCGACTACCTGATGTACATTTAGTACCGGTGTTGAAAGAGTGGATGCGCCATCGTATTTTCGGGCCGTATTCTGCGAGAGATAAAGCTAGGCTTTTAACTCGAAGTTGTAATGACTGGCAAAGGTTCTGGGCTCTTTCGTTGAAAGATTACATGCACGTTTTCCCACCAAAAGACCCGAATTACGCCGGTCATACAAATTGGCTTCATAAACACAGTCTGAACCAACATTTCCGAAAATATACTCGAAAATACAAGATGGACGTGTTCAAAGCTTTCGCGACCTTCAATAATATGTTGTGGACCACGATGTGCCAAGCGCAGTTTCCGGGTAAAAATTTCAGAGAAATATATTTCTCCTATCTGTACGATAAAGTTGAAGATTTACTGTTGATGCATCCGTATAGTGTTGGAGAAACTGCTGAGAGGAAGAAGATAATGGAAAACAAGAGATACAGCTGTTTCCAACCCATCGAACGAGACGAGTGAATGTGTCATGCTATGGTAAAAGTCATTGAGGATGTCAGGAATAAAATTTTTGTTTTAAAATAGAAGTCCTATTTGTTTCAAATTTTATTTATAATGCGCGAAATTGTCTGATCTCGCTTTTAAAAATAAAATTTTCAGAACACTGCTTTTATTACTTTAGTTTTCTTCTAATGAAAAATATAAAAAATAAGTCCGCGCAAAATTAAAAAAATAATAGTAGCGTATGTGTTCTTCCAGACTATGTTCTACGTCTATGCCAAATTTAAGACAGATCCGTTCAGCCGTTCTGGAGATAACTTCAAAGAAACATCCATCCATGTAAACATTCGTATTTATGATATTAGTAAGATAAAGAATGTACGAAACGTCAGATATGATATGCATGAAGTTCATATTCAACTGTTCGTTGGGTAAATGAAAATCAAATGTCTTCGTAATCCATAATTTATTGTGATAAGAATATTGTTATACCTAATAAGGTATTTACATAAAGTTATGGCTTAAAATTATTTCACTGTAAACAACTAAGTTGTTGATATTGTGTTATTTTCAAGACAAATTATTCAGACATTAAAATCGAAATTAATTTGTTCGAATAGCATTTCCGAAATGCAACTTAATAGAATGAATATTTAACTTTTTTTTTATTACAAACATTCATACACAATGACCTCGTTATAATACTCAAGGGTATTAAAAATATTTTCTCTTTTGTATACCGAATACTACAATTAAACATAAAGCTAATATTATTATACAAGTCTTATATTATTTATTATAAAATATAACGTTTTATTTTTAAAATACAACACTAGAGCTACAATTGTAGTGAAATACAATCAACAACAGCCAGAAGTAAAACTGACTTTATTATAGAAACTTTTTTTTACCAAAATCCATATTTTTTTTATTTTTAAAGATGTAATTTGCGGTGAAATAATGATTTTATTTTCACCGACCGATTCATTTTATTTTTGAATTTATTATTGATTTTTTTTTATTAAAAGAAGTCCGTTCTTCAATTTTTTTTAATGTATTAATTAATATCGAATTTATTTTATAAATGTATCTGTCGCTGATTGCATCACTTACACTACAACTCTACTCTAAAGGATATTCAATTGTCTTTGGTATCATTGTTACAGAAAACAAAACATGTTGTCGATGTTTCCTTTTCAAAACATCAAATCGGATTTATTTTAGACAATACTGATATTTTAACGAAAATTAGTCACTTAAAGCATCTCTTTGTATTAAAAACTAAAGAACAACATTAACAAAACTACAAAGAAATAGCTAAAACAGTTGGTATTTAGATATAAAATTAAGAAAAATATACCTTAACTTGAGTACATTAAAACAATAAAAAAAGATAATAGTAATATTGCTACTTCGAGAAATGCATAATATTTCATTGTTTCCTATTATAATTTACAATTACCATATTTTGTAAGAAGTGTAATGAACCAGAAAAATTATTTTTGCGTGTGGCAACACATGACAAGTGACAAGCTTAACTATTTGTTAATTTTTAAAAACTGTAATATAAAATGGGATCGTTTTTATGAAAAAAGATCAGGGAAATCTATTTTAAATTTATTTAACATGTAATTACCAATTGAATAGAAGTATTTGTGTTTAAACTTTACAAAAAGAGCGGGAAAATTGACAGGAGATATTGTTTGCAAAGATTATCATACTATAAGACTACGCACATGGCTGAAAACTGTCAGTTCCATAGATTATAAAGTTTGACGTTTGCACAGATTATAAATGATAATTTGTTGTTTGTGGCACAGATTAAAAAGGTTATATTTGCAGTTCGTGGTGCGAGTGTGTGGGCGCGGGGTGCGGCGCGCGCTGCTGTAGGTGCACGAGTGCGGAGAGCAGACGTGTGTTGGCTTCATCGAGTGCTGCAATGCGATGTTCCTGTGCCTCGATCACGCGCTGCTTGTGCGACAGTGCTGCCGCCATCTTGCGCTGCTCGCGCCTCAATTCCTCTTCCACGCAAATTAACCTGAAAATAGTAATAAATACTATGAGTATTACTATAATAGAAAATAAAATTTTACGCTACATGCAAGAAGAAAGAAAGAACTTGCTTAGTTTTGGTGTTTATTTGATACAATTTTAAGGAAACAGTGTACCTTGATATAATCGCCTTCATTTTAGCATCCGTATGGTCCTGTCCAGGCTCGGCCGGGCCCAGACGGCCGCGCAGCAGCTCCACTGAACACTTCAACCTTTCGATTTCACGTTCATACTGAAAGGAAACAGATAAGAACTTAGATTTTATACATATAGATATTGTGTTTACAACAGATTGTTCAGCTCAAAACCTAAGTATTAGGTTCCTAAATGCAATCATTACTTTTTATAATTGTTACCTGTTCAATAGTTCTATGATGTTTGGAGGTGCGGCGGCGACCGGTGGTGCTGTAGAGCGTGTCGTCGACGTCATCCGAACTGTCGGTGAGGTCGCGCGCAGACTCCAGACTCAGCCGCCGCTGCAGCTTGTCCCGCGCGGCCGGCTCACGCTCCCCGCGCACCTCCCGACTGTTGACCCGCTCGCTCGCCTCGCTTGTCTGCGATCCCCCGAACACCGCGGTGTTAGGAGAATCCCTCCTGTCCCGCATACCGTAGTAATCCTGATGCCTCTCCAAATCCTCGTTCAACCGACTGCTCGACATCTTAGTCCCCGAGTATGCCCTATCTAAAGGATAATTCGTCTCTGGGATAGTGTTTTCAGTCATCGTGAATTTCTCGGGAGAGTTCTTCGAGTTTTCCATGTTGAACAAAGCCTTCTGACTCCTCGATATCTGAAGCCTGTACATTTCCTTGTTGACCTCCTCAACATTGGAGTCGGAGCGACTCATCGGATAGCCGGAGTCGGTGGAGATGTGATGCGGCTTGCTCTCGTAGATTGACTCGCCACGCTGACCGAAGTGCTTCAAGTTCAGCTGGTTCTGATTCGTCGAGTAAGAAAGCATCGGATTGGTCCGTGGCATGCGAGTTTTGCTATTTTTCCGTAAGCTGGGCGAGTTGCTGGACGACTCGTCGTCTCTTATCCTAGGGGAATGGTTGTGGCTTCTCTGGTACGAGTCATCGTAGGTACAATTATCTCTGGTGAGCTTTCGGTGGGTATTGTTACGGTTCTGTTGGTCAAAGTTCCTCCCGCTTTCGTCGTTGAAGTTGGTGGAGCCCTCCTCCGAGTTGGTCTCAACGTTGTCCGTGCTCAAACCCTCCTCATCAATCGATGAACTGGATGAGCCACAGGGGCAGCGCTTCGAGTTCCTGTTATCATTGTTTGCGTTCTTCTCTTGTGCCTGTCGACCGTCTTCCATGTTGTAGACCGGGTTGGTGAACACAAGCGGCGCTATTTTAGAGTTGGCATTTGTGTTGCTTTGTACATTGTCAGCGGTGGTGAAGTTCTGAATTCCATACTTCTGTATGTCGTATTCGATTTTCTGTTGCACCGGACTCTTCGGGTAGAACTTTTCGTTTTTGCTGTCGTAATACTGTTTATCTCTTTGTTTTTGGTAGTTTAGCTGCGAGTAGCGAGACATCGGTTGTCCGCCGTTTTCGTACGGTTGATGATGATGGCCAGTGTTCTCTATGGGGCTGCTGCTTTGGCTGTAGGTGGCGATGCTCTGGTAGCCGGAGCTGGCGACATTCGACAGTCCACTGATTGAAACATTGGAACCGTTATTTGTGTAGTTAGTTTTATTGCCGTTCACAATATTATTATTGTTATTATTGTTCATTTTAGATTGCGATGTGATCTTTTTGTTGTTCTGCTTATCGTCTACAATATCTGAGTCGTCGGCATATTTGAGCAAATCTGAGAGCTCTTCTAACGTCGCCGTCTCTTTCATAATATTTTGCATTTCGTTGGAACTGTAATTATGATTGATGCTATCGTTGCTCGGAGATCTCTCAGTATTATAATTACTGTTGTGGAAGTGAGTTTGTTGTTGATTGTAATTGTTTGGTTTGTATCTATCTTGGAATCTCCTCTCTAAGCTTTCGTTAAGACCATTGCTGATACCTTTCGGATATTGATCCGAGCCGAAACCGATTTGTACGACCTTTAGATTGACGCAATGTTCTTGGTTATTGTACTGGGAGCTGTATCTGTCGGGGTTCACGTTTTGATTTTGTTGGTTGGAACCATATCCATTTCTCGGTAGTGTGGCGGAGCGTAAATTGAAACTGGGCGATTTTGATACGGCAGTATATGTTCCTTTATATTTTGAGTCTTCTGCGTTCGATTTTGACGGGCTGATGTTGAATTGGACGCCGTTTTTGTTCATGATAGGCGAACTGTGAGCGAAGTTATTGTTCAGTTGTCCGTTAGTTGGTGGTTCGGCGTTGTTTTGTTTTGTAGGCGTGTTGCACGTGGGATCGTTGAACCTGAGAATGAAACAAATGTATATGAGAACGAAAATTTCCTTCGAAGAAAAGAAAAAGCCTTCGATTTAAAAAAGCATATTTTAAATATTTCAAATGGGATGAATTAAAACATTTAATTTTACCTAAAGATGTTATCAGAAACGGGTGCCATGGGCCCGTTGTCGTTGCTGGCCAGCCTCTTGCTCAGTTCGTCGAGAATATCTGACAGCGGCTCCAACTCCTGGAAATTTATTATATAGAATATTTGATAAGTAAAAATACAAAGGCCGTATTTAAATGTGTTCACTGTTTAACGATCCTTTATCTAATCTTAGTTTTTTCTTAACTAACCTCAATTTGTGCGTCTATTAATTTTATGAAATTGTATAAATTACCTGTATCCTGGGCTGCGGCAGCTTAGGTAGGCTGTCGACGAGCAACGCATGCAGTGTGGCGAGCTGCTTGCCGAGGTCTACATGCGGCGCCCACTCGGGGTCAGGCTCCACGCACCCCGCACCCCCCACCCCGCCCACAGCCCCACTCCGACCTGATCCCTCAGACCCCGCAGACCCCTGCGATACTGATGAGTCCCGCTTGTTCTCCTGCGTTTGCTGCGTTTGTTGCTCTTGGGGACGTGTCTAGAATATAGATAACAAAAATTTTTTTATTTTAAATGTAATTTTGTTAACTGTTACGTTTGACCAATGTCAGATAAATTAAGAACTAAGCTACAATAAGGGAAATATAGGTATAAATGTGTTCAATGCATCGATCTTACAGAGATAGCTCTTAGGAATGCCTTCATGTTGGGCGCCTCCTGCTCGAGGAAGTCGTTGAGGAACTCCATGAAGGCCTCCTTGCCCTGGAAGCGCGTGAAGTTGGCCAAAGTCTGCAGAGTCTTCGCCACCAACGTCAGGTTGCGCGCCGCGCGCTCGTTCGGGTATTCTACAAGTTAACGTTATATTTAGTCATAATTTTTAATGATAGTAATCTTTGAACTCAGTCATTTTAACTATATACATACCATGAGTTATTCCAAATAGACTGGGGGAAAGTATGGCCGGACAAAGGAACCGCAGGAAGATTGAAGCGCTTATTAAATTATCTGATATGTCTTCACGTCCCATCGAAGCCAGTCTGAAAATGAGAAATGGCTCTTACTCATAGAATTTACAAAACTCATATTAACTACGATTATGTGAATGTAAATTTGTTTGTGTAAAATTCATTTGTGGATTTAGTAAGTGAATGCGGTGTTGAACCTCTCTCTGAAGGTGGCGAAGCAGTCCCGGAGCGGCGGAGGGAAGTCTGGTGCGGAGGCGGCGATGGCTCGCCAGGCGCGTGTGACGGCGTCCCGGAGCGCCGCCTGGTGTCGGCGCAGCGCCGCGCCTCCACCCGCACGCAGCGGATCCACCTCGCACTCCGCGCTGCTGCCCGCCGCCCAGCACACCGCCTCGCCCAGCGTCTCCTACACACATTACCTCGTATTACTTTCTTAGCAACAACAGAAAACATCTAACTAGTAATCGTAATTAGACCTTAGAGATAGCCATATATATTAATTAGTTTATACACTATCTCTTTGGTGCATGTTAAGAACATTGAATAGATTTAATTAAGTTTCTTCGCTTTGAGCCTTAATGTGTCTATAGGTGTGTTTGTGTGTCGTGTGTGTTTGCGTGTGTATGTACCTGGAGGTACTGATCGCCGACGAGCTTGAGGTATGCCTCCATGCTCTTGGTGGCTAGCGAGTTGCCTCGGAAGGTGAGCGAGTGGTCACCGGTGCGACGGACGTCCAGCGCCACCACGTCGGCTAAGTACCGAGGCGCCAGGCCCGCGCCCGCCATACACAGCACCAGCGCACAACCGATGTCCTCTTTCGCCTTCACACCTACAATACACACAAAGATAAATAAAAGTTCACACATAAGTAGTACCAAAAGATATAAGTATACAAGAACAACTCTATATATATATCCTCACCGATGACTGGTTCGAGATACTCGCAGAGTCTCCGGTAGTGCCGCGTGAGGTAATCGAGAAAGCGCGCGTAGCAGTCGAGCGGTAACACGTCCACGCTCTGGAAGCGACACTTGATGCGCAGTGCGGGCGCCGGCGCCCCTGCCGCTGCGGGCCCCGCGCTGCCCGCTGAGCGCGCCGGCGATGCTGGGGTCTCCGTTGATAGCGGGTACCAGCGCTCGTTCAGGTAGCGAGAGGACACATCATCCACCGGGATGCGGACCGTTCCTGAAAAACAAATTTCATTATTATTCTACATGTAATTTAAACTATATTCGACAAAAGAACACACACCGAATTATACCAAGCTGGGATTTTAAGTAAACCATGTAATTTTATAGTCATAAAAATTAAAAATAAATTTATTAAAAGGAACTCGTAACGGACTCTTGATATCAGAAAAAAATTGTAATTAAACATTATTTAAATTAAACACGATAACAGTAACATGGTTACATTAAAACAGGACACAAATTATACAAGGGATGTGTGTCATTGAAAGCAAAGCGTAGCTGTTATCAAAGTTATATTAAAGGGCTAAAAATAAAAACGTGTAAATGAATTACAACTTAATTCATATGTAATTTTAATTATTTTATAGCGATCCCTGCGAGGAAAAGGATTACATGTTTAAGAGATCTCATAAGAAATGGATATGGAAACTCTTTCGTGGGATGTGTTGTTTGTTGTACGTACCGACTAATGCGTGCTTGTCCCGCTTGCGCGCGCGCCTCTCAGGCTCGCGATACACGTTGACGTGTATGTTGCGCACGGCGGGTAAGGCACCGAACTCGTACACCTCACCCCAAAAACAAAGCTCCGTCTTCAGTTTCGACGACGACCTGAGAACAATAAAATGTTATTACGATTTACATTTCGTTACATTTAGTAAAATGTAGTATGTAGTAGCATTAACAGAGCTATGTAACAAAAGTGATGTCCTATAAACATGCATTTTGTAAAAGAATCTTCATTGCATATTTAAAACGTATGTTTAATTCTCTACATTGATTTTCCTTTCACACCAGACGAGACTTCATTGATAAACAATGCATGCATAATTAAATAAAAATACCTTGCATAGAGCGTATCGTCGAGCAGTATTTCGCAGTAGTATCGTTTCTTGGGCGGTATGGCCTTGGCCTCTAGTAGCCACAGTTTGACGGTGCGTTCGCATCGGCGCGTACGCATCTCGTCCGGTCGCGCCGCTTGCCGTAGGCTGTGGAAACAAGAATAAAAACACGTTATTAATGCGAATATGCGACTCGAATGACGCGAGGCGCAATTTAATATTGCATGCCGACAACTTCAACACGCACTTTGGTTAAGTAATAATTATGACATTCGACTGTTTCAGTTTTAATTTTGCATTTCGCTTAGTTACCAAATAATTTAGGTTGCATCGACTATTATTAAGCACAAAGACAAATAAAGAGAGAATCAAAACTATCGCTATTCTTTGGTATAAAATGTTACCTTTAAGATATTTTATTAGGTCAGTTTAAAAGAACGTAGCCCTTCTAAGGCGAACGCCGAAAAAACTATTAAAAATAGACCAAAGTTCGTTTATCAAAAAAGGGGGTTACTAGGGCGACATAAACCGACCTGTATATCCAGCGGTCGCGTTCCTTCCTCGAGGCGCAGGCGAAGTACCTTGGCGCTCTGTTCTCTGCGCTCAGCGCGAAGCAGTGCGCACGGCCCAACACCGACGAGTGCAGCGCACGGATTTCTACCTGCGAATGCATATGCTCCTAGTACATACGTGCTTTGAATGCTTCACGCTCGCAACGATTTATGGCGAACGTATACGGAATGTTATATGGAAAGTAAGGTAAACAAGATTTACATCTTATAACGATCAGTGTGCACATAAATGCATATTTGTATGCGGAAGCGAATGAACCGAGAATTCTGTAAGTTATTGGAGTTCTTCAACTTTAAGATAAAAGAAAGAAGTGTAGAATCTATTGCGGAAGTTAAAAAAAAGTATAAGTAAAAATGGTTGTGTAGGAACATTAATTAAACATTACACCTACTTGATTTGGTGGACCCAAATCCATAGTGGATACGGCGGGTGAGTGTGCTGACAGCAGACTTTCATGAGATCTGAAAGAAAAATAACATCCTGTTAGAACAAAGTAATGCAAAAATAACCAATACGAACATATTTCATATTGTTAGAAAAGATTATCTTACGCACCGTGTCTAATTTTAATTTTAACCATCTTTGTGGTTAACTCATTAACGGTTTAATGGGTATCCATGATTAGTCACCTAACATTTATTTCATATACACTTGGCCCATTTAAAAAAAAAGTTATTAAAACTATTTTAATCTGTAATTTATAAATGACGTAATACAAAATAAAAGAACAATAAAAGTAATATTGACACTGTTATTTAAACAACCGGATTAAATTATCAGACGAGCCTTCGCAATCAGCGTCGATTGTAATTACCTACAGTAGGTAATAAAGACGTCACAATCAAGTTATTCGCCGTCAGCAGTATACTCAACTAATGAGGGCTCGGCGATCGCCGGCGACAGCGACACTCCTAACACCTCGTCGGGATAATTCCTTTCAGTCACGATACTGCTAAGTGAATTAAGTGATACTTTGATTGCTTATTCACATTAAATATTCGTCGTGTTTAGAAAACAGTAGTTCGTGTCCAATGAAAAAATTCTATTCAATTAATTTATAGTAAATTTTGCTATATAACTGTAATAAGTTAGATTTTGGTTTTAGGTTCGCCTGCCAAATCCCGAGATTCAAAAACCATTAAAATGATTTTAAATTCTAGCACACAGTGAGCTTCAATCTATACTTTTATTTAAACGTACTGTGATAGCTGACATTGTGTCGCGACAGTTTATTAGTTGTAGTGATAAACGAGCAAAAGATACATCGCTAGTCGGGCACATTCGCCTCCCATAAGGTATTAAAATAGAAATGCGCCCACATTGTGAGTTTTATTAGCAATAGTCGCATTGGACGTGATTAAAACTGGTATTTCGTTTCAGGAAGAAATTAATCTGTAATTCGCAACATACCTTTACAAATAAATAATATATTTGGAGTGGTAAAAATAAACACATAAAAGAAAATTTTCTTACCGTGATGTCCGTAGAGCGTGTGTCGGAGGATGTGTTGGGACTGCAGCCAGCGCTCTCTCTCTTTCCAGCTTCGTAGCAGATTTGGTCCTCTTAAGCGGGTTGCTCCTAAACGATCGCTTCGAGAAGAAGAAGGAGGCGAGCCGCGAGGGGCTGTGCTGCGCCTGCGCACCCGGTACCGGCGTACTCGGGGCCGAGCCCCGCCGACAGGCTTTCTCATAAGATGTGTCTGTAAACAAAACATATACATTATATTAACCGAAACAACTGTTGGGTGTAGACACAATATGCAACAAAGATATACCAATATGCTCTTGTCATTTTAGAAAGTTATGCCGTCGACCAAATTGAACAACAAGTATATCAGTCGGCAAAATAATTATACAATGATTTTTCTTCCATATTTATGATACATAAAGGTAACGAAATAGCAACTATATAACACAAACTAAAACATTTCGTTGACTCCGATTACTTGACGATAAAACATATATTCTCACAAAACACTCACACTTTGTAAACTTAATTTGAATCCAGTCAAATGCATCATTATGAATACAGGACAATTTACTGAAAAGCACTTGCATTACTACCATTGCTCTATACTGCTCAATAACAACTGATTTATGTAGCCATATAAAATGACGAAAACAATCACGCGGTTTTCAATTCTCGGCATTGACGCCTCATTGTCTACAAAGCAAGGCATTAAAGGAAAACGACGTATGAATGTGACAGTTTTACTGTATGGATTTAACCGCAGGAATCTGTGAATCGTCGCGGTTGTTTTGTAAAACAATTAGGAAATTTCTATAGGAATAAAGAGCTGCTATGAAGTTCCTTTTTTCGTATTTTCCTGGTATATTGGAACTACATTGGAAAAATACTGCGATCTCGAAAGATATAACACATAATATATATTCTGTATCAACATGTTATATCCCGTTTTGTATTGTGATATAAAAACAATTGAATTCTTTAACATATCGACGCAGCACCAAGTGTTGTGGCGTGGCTTCCGGCGGAAGTTGCGCGCACGTTGCCCGTGACCGTTGCGCATGCGCCAACTAATAAGCGTTAGAACCTTGAATGTTTTGTAAATATAATAACGATACACTTTTATTGTAACATAAGTCCAGCACGAGCTATTAAATTTGCATATACGTAGTATCAGAAATAGTTAACAGTTATAGCCAAGCTACAGTTTTGTTTGCATAAGTGTTATATGTATTTTTAACCACGGGTTTACACTACCATGCACTTGCGCAAAAATATGTTATGATTCCTCACATTTCTCATACTGTAAATATATCATTTCCGAAATAGTTCGTTTAGTATGCTGAGTTACACTCTAAATAATGGCCCGGTTTCAAATGCATTTCCTAGAAAGCACTGAATCAACAAATGGGTGAACATTTTACGTTACTAGTTTTTGTTAACAAATGTGCGGAATATAATGAATCAAATTACTGATGACTCAAGTATTTTCGCTTAACTGTTTACTTAAACCGCATAAGCAATGACCGAATATGACATCGTTTCTACATGCACGATAATTAAAAAAATATATAGCTGTCATTATTTTAGTATGGACGTGTTTTACAATTTGGTCTAAATTCTTTTTTTTTTAGTGAATATTAGCAGATTTTTCTTTAATTTACTAATATTTCTTTTACCATTCCAACTAAGCTCTAGGCTTGTGCTAGAATATGGTTTACGACAATAGTCGAATGGCGGGATTCGAACCCCCGACCTCGTGATCGGATATCCGTACCCTTAACCATTAAGCTATTGACGGAATTCTGCACATAATACTTATAGCAATATATCCAACAGGCAATTTAGCCTGACTGATGTTATGTAATGAATAATATTTAGAAGAGATGCAATGATCATACATAAGAAACCTTATTTATCCAGTTATTAAAATGTGTAAGAATATTAGAGTTCGTGTTGTTTTTTCGGCATCACCTTGGTAACATATTTGATTAGGTAACAACACGAATATTTCATCCTTTGCATTAGCATATAAAAATATGGAACACGCAATTCTTTCTTCTATCAAAATAAAGCTTGTCGTTTGCCTAAAACACATTGATTAAATGTGACACGAAATATGTTAATAACAACTTTTAACATGTTAAAGATTTTATCGTAAAATAGAGAAAAGGAACATAATTTTAACGATGGTATTAACATTTGTATTACAGATTCTAATGCTAATCGATTCGATATGGAAAAAAATAGATTTCTTATATTGTTTATTTTGGGCCGACAAGGTCGTGTATTTAAAAAAAATGTTTAACGAAATTATTATAATATTTTAAGAAATAGCATATAAAGAATTTTAATTTAACATACTCTATGTTACATTAGATATATCAATCAAACGACCAAATACATCTGAACAACTTAAAATGGTTAAAATTTTTCTTTCTCGGTGCCACGAAAAATTATAAGTAGAACGTGCAAAAATAGTGGCACTTTGCACTTTTTCAGTAACACAAAATTTGCATTTTTGTCTAAAACAAGTTAACAAAAAATTTTTATTTTGCTACGCCACGTGTTTTGCACCACTCTCTCCAAACTAATGCTATTTCGTTAGGGGAAAGCAACAGATGTCAATACGAACCCATTAGGTTATTGTGGTCGTTAAGGGATGTCAAGTTGTCGCGCACTTTGACTTACGGCACACAAGCTCTAACAAACATCGTTCAACACGTTCGCACGATTTGATCAAGTTCCGATAGTCGGTCGCCTGTTTCTAGTTTACAAGTTGCTGTATAACACACAATAAAAGTTAAGTAATTTAAAAACATTCTGAACTATTACACTTAATAATTTCGTACACAAATAGTCTCCATTTGTGTTAAATTATTAAGATATAAAAGTAATTAAAATTCAAAACAAAATAGCTAGGTTTATAAGAAACATTTTCTAACAAGTTTGTAAACCAACTTTACTCTTTATACAAGTCATAGTTGAAAAATTAATATGCATTCGAAAAGACACGCCCCTATCTTTAAACAATGTCGCCAATAGATAAAGTTACGACAGTTGCACCCTCAAAGAGGTCATTGACCTAAAACCGACGAGCTTACACAGTGCCCGGTAAAAGTGAGTCAGTCCAAAGCAATTATTGCAACCTCGCAACACCGAGCAGGAAGTCTTTGAAGAGCTTACAGAACTTTTTAAGTACTTGAAAGTGGTTAAAAAGCGAACAAAAACTTCTCATTATTAAAAAAATACTTATTTCAACCGCTAGAGAGTAATAAATCACAGGACATTGAAGAATAAAATTGAATCCATTCCTTATCAGTTGGTTCGTGATATCTGACAACTAATTCTATAAATTTAATGATTCACTCTGCAGCATCGGAATTTGTACCTCGGTCTTCCCATAAATAGGCAAAGTATGTAACTACTGATAAGTATATCTGTGTTGTAATAAATAAAACATGTTCGCATTAACCAACAGTTTGTAACTTTTTTAACGAACTAAAAACAATGTATTCGTAATTATCATAATACTGACGTAAGACTTAACACCGTGAAACTTGACCTACATATCAGCAGCAATATTTTCATTCATTTGTAGTCTTGTTTAATTAAAAATACACGTTTCAAAGAACCAACTCACTATTGATTGAGAGAAATATCGAGGGAAACAATATACAAGAAGTATAACCTTGAATCTTTATACACTGTGGAATTTAACGTATCGGTAATTGAAAGAAAAATCGTAAATGTCTTTAGAATGTGTATGTGAACATTCAACGAATGCTTTACTTTGATAAGGCAACGTTGATAAACTCCCACAAGGAAGTGCGTGCAACATGCCGAGATAGGCCGCGCCGCGCCACGCCGCGCAATCAGTAAAAGGTTTCTCCTTGTTTATGTTATAAAAATGATTATTTTGTACCCAAAACAATATGTAGAGGTTTGATTAATGGTTTTAAAGAAAAATATTCACAGTTCCAATATAAATAAATATCAAGGTATGAATTCCTTTACCCACTTCTATGACCAGATATACTGAAACTTTTTTACGTTTTAATAAATTCACAGTTTCTAAGATGCCAGTTTTTTATTAGCATCAAACCCAATTTTTTTATTATTATGAGACCTAATTAAACGAAAAAATAATTTAAATTTGTCGTTCGTAAAGTTATTAGCACCCTTCGTCATATTTAATACCTACAAAGCCCAATGAATTGCGATCGTCATTTGCTATTCTTGTCTCGTTGCCCGCTTGCTCGTCTCGTTGTTCTTGCTTTGTGAAAGAGCGGTTTTACTGCGATATTTTAGAAAGAGACAATGTGATCCCAACCAAAATTGTATCTAAAAACATATTGACTTTCACTTACTTGTATTTACACAGTAACAATTTATTTTCTTTAGATGACGCAGTATGAGGTAAACAACCTTATCTTTGTTTGCATGGACTTCCAATCAATCTACTATTATATCATTATTTATACAATCCATCCATCTTTTCTGAGGACGCTCTCCCTCCCGCAATCCCGTCTCTTTTTATGTATGCGTCTTCACTCAAAACTATCCCTCCCAGTCGCAACCCTCTGTATAGTGCAGTATATTTGGATAGTTTAAATATTAAAAAAATGCAACAAGAACCTAATAATTAACGAGATTATATGATATTTGATCTGCAGTGATGACTCTGGCAAAGTCAGCTGATCTAACCATCGATAATCGGAGAGGCTATTCTAGTAGAAAAATCAGTAACAACATAACGTCAGCAAATAGAAATTAGCTAAGTTTTTTACAATTAAAATGGTTCCGTTAAATGAACTGTTTCACCTTTTTGGTAGGGAAGAACGAACGCTTCGATAACAACGCGTTCCGAATATATATCACAGTAACTGTTACATTGGCCTGCTGGGAAGTGCGTAAAAAGATATATCGCAAAATATTTTCTAACAAAACAAATATTTCGGTCACAATAAACAACGCCAGAGTAAATCACGATTTGCGCTGAGACCCTTGTCTCATATAGTATTCATTGATTTATAAGATTTTATCTTGTTCCCTGCAATAGAAAGCAGAAAATATCATATTTAGAATTTATGGTACAATAAAGATACGATCTAAAAAGATTTTAATGGTTTCATGTTTTCAATGATGCCCTCTGATACTTACATAACGTCTTGTTAGAAATGTTCCGCGAACCATCCTCTCTTTGTCTCGCAATTAGTAAGTATTGTCTAGCAAATGAATAGTTTAGTAACAATGAAGAACGAAACTGTTAAGTCACTTATAATAGGACCGTTGTTAAGGAACAGCACTTCTAAAACCCTTCTAAACATGAATTGCAACATTTCTTATGGTATATTCATGGTAATAAATAGATATTGTAGAGCCTAGATATTGAACATTATAAATGCATGTATAAGTCTTACCAGAATGAACACCGACTTCGTCGTCAACATCGAGGCAGCTTCGACGTAGGCTCAGCGGGCTGTTAGCGACCTCGGCTTCGTTCTTCTTAATAAGAGCTCCGATAACTTCAGTCTCACCACCGTTGTCGTCCACAAACTTATCATAATCGTCGGTAAGGTCCGTTACCACTGCCACACTGTCGTCTAAACCCTCTTCTATATGTCTCGCAGTGATGCTACGTAACAAGGAGTTACTTCGCGATAATTTCGTGCTTCGCGATCGCCGGATGAAATTTAGTCCGGACATTCGCCCTGGACTCTTATTTGGACTTTCCGGTGTGACAGTTATTTTAGGCGTCCTAAAGATAGACGTGGAGCTACTGCTGCCTCTAATAGGCGATGCAGCAATAAGATTTTGTGGCAACGTTTTAGATTTTTCTTTGTTAGGTGAGAGCATATTTGGCGAGTCGGGTATTAATGATAAATTAGAATTTCGAATCGGACTCTTAGAAGTTAACTTATTACCGATACTGGAGGTTGAGTTATTTAATTTGTGCGAAACTGAATTCCCTAATGGAGAAAATACTCTATCATAGCGAGGTTCACATGAAGTCGTGCTTCTTAGTCTAGGTTTGGAATGTCTTTGCGGACTGTTCTCGGCTGCTATTCGGGGACTAATGGAATCTCTTTGTGCAATTCGAGCCAATGCCTCATAGGAGCTTATGGTAGAAGACAGCGGTCGTCTCAATCTTCTCTGAGGACTGAATGTATTAACTTCACCCTCACTCTCTGTCATCGAGGAATCGCCACGAGATGACAAATGTAACCTCTCGGTCGCGTATCTTCTTTTCGGTTTTATTGGAACTTCGTCAATGTTCTGGCCGCATATTAGCGCTTCTTTTTCCTCGGCTGTGAGGGGAAGGTAATTATCGAAACTTTCAAACAATGGCACATAAAAGACTGAGCGTCGACGCGTTTGTTCGTCGTCGATGGTGGTGGTGGGGGCGTTGGGGGTCAGGGCGCCCGACATGGTGGCCATTGCGACGGCGGATACACGGCACTTTACGGCAGCCTGGCCACCGATGAGACGTCACGCTTCATAGTCACAGGATTTCGTTTCACTTGAAATTATTTCCTGATGAATAGTCCTTCATTTCGTTTTTATACATGTAGTAACTTTCACAAAGCACTAATTTATTTCACCACTTCCTAAAATTTTATATTGAAGTATAAGCACATTGATATAATTGGTAAAACAATATTTATTCTGTACAATCTTTACTGTCCTATTCATAAATTGATATAAATAGTAACTTCTAACAATTCACTTAAATCAATTTTCCGTGACTGTGACGCTAGTGATTTTTTTTATTATTTTAATTTAACTATTCAGCCGTAAAACTTGATTTGTATAAGCTAGCTAGGTGCCAGCGTGTTAAATCATGGGAACACTGGCAAGGTGTATCGATCGCTTGAAACAAGTATAATTTAGTTTTATCGAAGGGACGATAAGATTATGCGCGAACAATAACCAATCACATATTCGTATTCAATCATAAAATGAGGCCATGTCATTAGCCTATATGAAGAAATGTAAATTGTGAAAGAGGTTCAATAGTAGTACAAGTTTGGCCACTAACAAGAACACGAAGAGTCAAACTTCAAAGGAACATGATAATTAATAGTAAATGTATTTTGCACATGTGTTCGAGCGCGGTCGGTGGGTAACAAATATATTAATACACACCCCAGCTCGTCAACAAATAGGTGACTGACTCAATAAGAACCTATTCACACGACCGAGAACGCTAACCCGATCATTAGTACCAAAATGCTTATATTTTCCGTGAAAATTAAACGTAGAAAACGTTGACGGTTTTAAAATATTGCGCGTATGAATTACCCTTAAATGCTGGGGCTCTTTTTAATTAAATTAACACTCATGTACATATTAATTAGTAACTACTAGGTAGAAATCGTATTCAAGGTTTGCGGTGTTATCACTATTTAGTGTATGTAATGTAATAGCGTAAAAACCATGCTATTTTAATGGTTATAGACGCAGTAATCTAATTGAAATTAACATCATTGTCACGGAAGGTAATTTACTTAATAAAATTAATTGTAACCCAGTTTTTTTAAATAATGAATTAAAAAATATAATATTTGTAATTTTCACTAGGTTAATTTAGTTATAATTAACGTACGTACAAGGCCAAAACACCCGAACATGAACATAATCTTTTTTAATCAAACCTTCGAATCAAATCCCTGACATGAAAGTAGAATACAATGTTCAATCAATGCGTTCTTAAAAAATATTTCTACGTCTATTTAGACAACCACTTGCATACCAATAACCGGAGCAAAGACCAAAGAACTAATAAAAAGTTGTATGCCTTTAAAGGAGGTTTTAGTTGGGTCGCATACAAAGAGGCATAAAGCACCGGATATCGCGAGAAGGGACCGGCGGAATAAGATCTTACGTTTATTACGACTTGCAGGGCGGAACGTGGACAAAGCTTGCGGAACGAGAACGACCCAGCGCGCGCTGCTCACTCGAGCCGGTTTTATGCGTAAGGTACACGAGATGAATCGTTAAGATACTGCCCGATTTATCTACTCGACTACTACATGAAGTACTTTCTTTTTAACATAAAGAAATGTACAAAGTCGCGCTTTGCTAATTATTTCTTTTCCAGACAGAATTTTATGTACAAAACATATCTTACGTATACATTTTCAATGGATATATGATTCACGAAGAAGGTTGGTCTGTGAATGATAAGGTATATAATTCAAAAAGATATGAATATGGGACGACCTTGTGCATGACTTTGGTTTGAATGAAATTATCATGGTCATGGATTTTTTCGCGGAAGTAGATAAAAGGCACTCTAAAATTATTCTTATCAGATACTGATAAAAATAAATCTTAATTCCGCACTTTACTAGCACTCAATCTTATTCATATTACGTTAAAATTACTTGAAAATATCTACGTTTATGTATAAAACTGACTTCTTCCACAATTACTTTTCTTACACTATGACTACAGTATTATAGAAATATAGTCAAGATTTATATTAGACAACAAAGGTAAGCAGTAAGTCATAAGCAAGTTTTCAGAGCAGAAATCACAATTTGAGGAATGGAAACGCGATCCGCGCAGCAGTGGCAGCTGGGGCCGGCGTGACTAACTCGCACAATCGTGATTCAAGGCAGCGCCTGCGCAAGTTCATCTACTACGCTGTCTAAATTTATTCAATTCCTAGGACATTTGTTCTCATTTTCCTTTACATAATAAATTTAGTTTTAAAATATATTTTGTGAACAAAAATATTTCAATTAATTGGAACATAAAACTTTCAAAAAGGAGGATTCCTACTACTTTTGCCTGACTAAATAGTAAGTCAAAAAACTTCTGACATGAATCAAACAGTAATGGGTATTTATTATCATTTTCAAAATTTAAGTTTATTTTAAAACTATTTGAACATCCGTAAATTTGTTTTCGTCATTGTGGTCACTTTAATGTCGACTCAGCGACTATACACGTTAATCGACTTCACACATTCAAAACATTTTAGTAGCTTTATTTGTTTTAAATGAAGTTTAATGATTCGACGAATCTTTAATGTTTACTTTCTGTTTACACAGGATTTGTTGATAAACCTATTGACTGCGAAAATATCTAAATATAAACATAACAGAAATTATAACCGCAAAAGTTACATTGCTTTGAAAGTATCGAGTTGAACTAGGGACCTTCAACTCAAAACATTTTACTCCAACTAGTTGAAGTATAAATGTTAAATGTAGCTCATAATACACGGTACATAAGAATTTGTTTTGTATTTTATTTTAAAAAAAAATCAAGTACAAAATGAAACAGCGATGATGTCGATAGTTCAACAAAGCCTATACAATGACAAAGTGTTTACCTTTCACTTAAAGTATTATTCTAACAAGGTTATCGTTACGATCTTACATTTAGCCTTATAGAAAATTTTATATTAAGAACGTTCTTAGTAATCATTTCTTTTCAATTTAAAATAAAAATGGCAAAGTAGAATAGCCTCTGACTACCCTTTTTGAATGACCTTAAACTTTACGCCGATTCGTGATAAGAAGATTCTATTTTTAAATTACTACGTAATTACTTAAATTCTACTTGACTATCAGATTAAAAATTCAAGCACGCACTATGCTATACGAATTTTACAAACTCACTTATAATTCAAATGTGATTTATAAGTACATTTAATATCAGAAAGTAAACTTGCGATGTCTACTAGGAATCATATGCAGGAATAGCCAATTAACAATTGTTCAAACAATGCACACATTCAATGACATGTATCCGAACAAAAACGACGCATAACTATGTGTGTTGTATTAACTTGTCTATAAGCGCGTAAGTGTGCGTTGAAACAGGAACAAAACGAGTCAATATGGCAGCGAGAACATATTTTTCACACGCAGTTCCTGCGAATTATCCAAAGAGGAATTATCAAAGCAATTTTGCTCGTCGCTTGCGGAATGGAATGTTAAATACTTTACAACACGTTACGTTTTTTACTTACACTACGACATTGTAGGATGCAAAGGATTTACTTTATGAGTCGCGCACACGAAATGAGACATTTTTACATTCAATCAAATAAAAAAATAATGTATTAACAAAAAATAATAATACATGTCTAAAAATTATTTGTTTGATATAAATGTTCCATAAACCCTTATTAATAATTCATGTATTTTGTAAATTAAATGTTAATTAACACCTCTAAGGACATTTAGTTAAGGAACGCTACATTTATCACAAAGATAGCACTCAGATATTTACATAATGATAATAATTCGCCGGTATTTAGTCAGTCCTATCTCTGGAGACGCTCCAACTGGACTCCGCTGGAGGCCCTTGCCAGTGGTTTTATGTGTTCTCTAAAGGTTTTCACAAAATGATTCTTATCGCGTTAACAAATGTAAGACTTGGACGGATATAGTTGGCGCTGGACCAAACCGGTACTGCAGTTACGCTTTGAAATCAACTACTTTTATGAACCAACTAAATATCCCGCGACTCCGTCCGCGCGGAATTAAAAAAAAAACTTTATAAGAAGCGTTTGTTCTTCCAGACTGTGTTCTACATCTATGCCAAATTTCAGCAATATCATGCAGCCGTTCTTAAGATACCTTCAAACAAACATTCATCCATCCTTCCATCAATCCATCTAAACATTCCCATTTATAATATTAAGTAAGATAGTAAGATAACTTTTAAATTTGGATATCAATACATGTAAATAACTTTCCAAAATATCTTTCAATAGCTCAGAACTGACAATGAAATAGCAAAACATTAAGGTATCTTAAATCTTAGCATTAAATATTCTTGCTACAAACTTTATTAATCACGTAATATATCTCAAGCATCGAAGTTGTTAATACCGGATGTATATACTATCTCTCAAAGCGTCAAGAGCGAGATTCTTCGTGTCCGATACAGGTTTATGGACAGCCAGCCTTACTACAAAAACTTGCCGGTACTCCGGAGGATTGTAGGTAAAAAAAATTAAAATTTACGTGAAATTTAATTGATGGAAATGTAAAATGATTATGATACCATATAGAAGTACAGAAAGAATAATACACTATAGAGATGAAAGAATGATACACTAGAAAGAATAAGTACACAAAAATAATTAAGTTTTAGCATACTTAATAGTTAATAGATAGCACTAGCTTAAAAAAATCTTTGACAAAAAAATTAATTTATCGTAAAATAAAATCAATCTTACGTTTTATTATATATTATTAAATATTGATTTAAACATCACAATAACTTGTCATCAAATACTTAAGTTAAGCTTAAATTATTATTAGTGTAGTTACAACATCATGTTATATCGGTAACACGGTTACAAGATAAATAAATACATTAAGTATATTGCGTCATTAGACTTTGTTCCGGTGAAAGGGATTAATTGCGACACTAAGCATCAACTTTAGTGTCGTGAGGCGACAATTATTTACAAACGTAAAGCTACACATAAGAAATGCTTACTTACAATTTTGAATGACAATAATATATAAAATACATACAAAGAAATCTTTTAGAATTTGTTCGATAATTGAAAAATTAAAACTTAAAAGCATGCCAAATAAAATATTTCCAAAGTTAATAATATCAGTTTTTCAGGTGC